ATATAACCTGAAAGAACTGAGATAAAAACCCAAGCCTCAACTTGAAATATTAAGAATTCTAGCATAGCGGTTACAAATCGGGCTGCTAATCTCAAGATCAGCAGTTCGAAACTACCAGCTGTTCTGTAGGAGAAAGATGAGGCATTCTGCTCCTCTAAAGATTTATAGCATTGGAAATCCTGTGCAGGATCACTATGAGTCGGAACTGACTCCACGGCACACTACCACTACCACCACCGTGGGCAAATGGAATTCTGGTGTGGCACTATAGGATAAGCACTCAACTGCAAAGTTGGTTTGAACTGCAAGGTAAGTGGTACAAATCTACCAGCTGCTCCTCGGAAATCCTATACAGGGTCACTATGAGTTGGAACTGACTCAATGTCACTAAAACAACAACATGGGCAAGTTATTGAATGATACAGAAAGCATCAAGAGAAGATGAAAAGAATAAACAGTCACTGTGCAAAAAAGAAATGGTCGGCGTTCAACCATTTCAAGAGATAACATATGATCAAGAACCAATGGTACTGAAGGAAGAAGTCCAAGCAGCATTGAAGGCACCGGTGAAAATCCAGTCTCTAGGAATTCATGGAATACAGACTGAAATCTTTCAACAAACTGATGAAGTACTGGAGGCGCTGACTCATCTATGCCAGAACATTTAGAGGATAGCTACCTGGCCAACTGATTGGAAGAGATCCATATTGTGTCCATTCCAGAGAGCGGTGACCCAACAGAATGCAAAAATCATCAAACAGTATCATTAATATCATATGCAAGTAAAATTCTGCTAAAGATAATTCAGAAACGGTTGCAACAGTACAGTGAAAGAGAACTACCAGAAACTCAAGCTGGATTCAGAAGAGGAAGTGATATGAGGGATATCACTACTGACAGCAGGTGGTTCTTGGCTGAAAGAAAAGAATACTAGAAAGACGTTTCCTTGTGCTTTATTGACTATGCAAAGGATTTTAACTACATAGATCATGACAAACTATGGATAGCATTGTGAATAATGGGTATTTCAGAATGCTTCATAAGAAACCTATACTAAGAGGCAGTTATTCCAACAGAACAAAGGGATACAGAGTGGGTTAAAATCAAGAAAGGTGTGCACCAGGGTTGTGTCTTTTTACCATACTTATTCAATCTATATGCTAAGAAAATCTGAAAAACTAGGTTTTATGAAAAGAACTTGGCATCTAAATTGGAGGAAGACTCATTAACAACCTGCAATATGCTGATGATACCACTTTGCTTGCTGAAAGCAAAGAGAATTTATAATACTTCTGACAATATCAAAGACTATAACCTTCAGTATGGATTGTACCTCAATGTAAAGAAAACAAAAATCTTCACAAGTGGGCCAATAAATAACATCATGATAAATTGGAGGAAAAAAACTAAAGTTGTCAAAGACTTCATTTCAATTGTATCCACAATTAGTACTCATGGAAGCAACAGTCAAGAAATTAAACAACATATTGCATTGGGTAAGTCTGCTGCATAAGACCTCTTGAAAGTGTTCAAGAGCAAACCTATCAGTTTGAAGACAAAGATGTACCTGACCTAAGCTATGGTATTTTCAATCGCCTCATATGCATGTGAAAGTTGGACAATGAATAAGGAAGACTGTAGAATTGTTGCATTTGAGTGATGGTGTTGAAGGATATTAAAAGTACCATGGGCTGCTAGAAGAATAAACAAATCTGTGTTCAAAGAAGTACAGCCAGAATGTTCCTTAGAAACCACTATGGAAAGAGCTTGTCTCTCATACTTTCTGACATGTTACAAAAGGGACCCAGTCCCTTGTGAGAACAACATGCTTGGTAAAGTGGAGAGTTGGCGAAAAAGAGGAAGACCCCAATGAGATGGACTGACATAGTGGCAGCAACAGTTGGTTCAAACGTAACAGTTGTGAAGAAGGTGCAGTATCAGACAGTGTTTCGTTCTGCTTATAGGGTCGCTGTCAGAACTTTCTCAACAGCGCCCAACAACAAACTTGAATACTGAAGAAACTTATTTAACTAGACGATTTTTCATGGTGCAAATTTTCTTCACCTAGAAAATTTTCATGTGGAGTTAATTACTGGGCTTCCTTAAAGTGAGGCACAGCAATTTAAAAAATGCGTGAGAACGCTGACAGTTAGCCAAATCAACCTTTACACAGTTGGATTTAGTCCACTGGCCACTGAGCCACCAGAAAGGACTTCCTGCCCCTGAGATCAGCTCTTATTTCAGTCTTTAACATCGAAAATGTAGAAAGGATATTTGACAAAACTACATGAGGCTTTCTGGTCCTGTAAAGATTTACAGCCTCGGAAACCCTGTACAGGGTCGCTGAGTCGGAACCGACTCCGGTAAATCACCACCACCACCACAAGCAGCGTGGCTGGATAAGTCCTGGAGGTGGCTATACCCGGAAGAGAGCGGCAACTGTCCTATTCTGTGTGGCAGCCTTATGCGACCTTCGACCTCTGACCCCGCGCTTTGCTCAGCATTTCCGGACGGATTTTCTCTCCCGCCTCTCTAGTGAAGGGCGGGTCCAAGTCACGTGGGCGTGGCTTAGAGACCAGCGGTTAGGGAGGGGCGGGATTTGATGAGGCATCTTAGCATTGGCCTTTACATGTGGGCGGGGCTAGTGCAGAACTGGGTTGGGCGGGGCAGGAGTTGGTTGCAACCTCTTGGTAAGCAGGGAACCGGCGGCTAAATTTGCCGCGGCCGGGGGCGGCAGGCGTGCGCGTCGCAGATCCCGGATCCGGAATTATTACTATAGGAGCGGAATCAGGATCGGCCTTAGCCCAAACCGGGTCAGTGAGCAACTCGCGAACTTGAAGTCAGAAATCCCGGAACCCGGATCAACAAACCCAAAACCAGGATTCGCATAACCCGGAATTTAGATCAGAAAGTCCCGGAACGCGGAATAAGGAGCGGATTTGGTGCGAAGCCCGGAGTCCGGATCACGACACCTCGGGACGGGACGGAGCGATGTCGGGTCGTGGCGCGGGCGGGTTCCCGCTGCCCCCACTGAGTCCAGGCGGCGGCGCCGTAGCTGCGGCCTTGGGGGCGCCGCCTCCCCCCACAGGACCCGGCATGCTGCCCGGACCGACGCTTAGGGGACCAGGGCCGGCTGGAGGCGTGGGGGGCCCCGGAGCCGCCGCCTTCCGCCCCATGGGGCCCGCGGGCCCGGCAGCGCCGTATCAGGTAAGGAGGCGGCTCGGGGGGCCGAACCGCGAGGACGCCCGGGCAGGGGTTGTGGGAGGCTCTTAGTGAGGGAACTTCCTGGACCGAGAGCACCGCGCTTTGCACGGGGAGCTCACGGGAAATATAGAGGACAAGACCAGGGATTCTTGGGGTGCGGCTGCGTGGTGGTGGAGGAGTTGGGGAAAAGGGTATGTGGAGGAGTTGAAGCAGTTGAGGGTTTCTGTTAAGGATCCCTGGGTGGCGCCGTGGTTAAAGCACTAGGCTACCAACCAAAAGGTCGGTGGTTCAAACCCACCAGCTGCTCCGAGGGAGAACGATGTGTAATCTGCTTTCCTAAGATTACAATTTTGGAAACCCTATGGGGTAGTTCTCTTATGTCCTACGGATTAAAACTAGACTTCCTAGGAGTCTGAATCGACTCTACAGCAACAGAGTTTTGGGGGGCGTGGGTGGGATTCTGAGTAACTGAGGGATGTAGGAGTTGTAGCAAGTGAATATGTGGATCTGTGGGTCTAGTGTAGCACCTGGGGTGCGGATCCTGGAAAGTGATGAGAAAGTTTTAGAAAAGGGGATGGCCAAGGGCCCTCCCTGAGAAAGCAGGCTTTCCCTGCACTGGCCTCTGTCCTACACCCAGTCCACCCTGGTTTTTCTAGTCCGGAACTGGCAGCGTTTAGCGTGCCCTGTCCTGTTAGCCCCGCTGTGTTCTGAGATGGCTCCCAGCTGCTAATGAGGAAGAGCCTGGTTTCCCACGATTGTGAGCCGCTCAGTACACAGCAAGGGGATACCATCGCCTTGTGCAGTGCTGGGGGACTACTCCCAGCTCCACCCCTGGAGCCTTCTCCTAGGTGACCGGGTTAGAGCAGCGATGGTGGTAGCCAGGCAGAGGCACCCTGTGACATATTGTGCAGCAGACGTTTCTTGGCTTTGTGCCTGTTGTCATAGTGTCCAGGAGTTGATTTGTCTGGAGGAGCCACGAGCCCTGCTGGTTTGAAGTCACTTCAAAGGACCCTACTGCCTTGACCCATTAGGAGTTTGGGAGGAGAGCTTCTCAGTATGTAGCTCCAGAGGCTGTTGGGAGGCAGACTCCACCCTTAGGGTCAGGGTGTAAGGAACTCCGCTGGCCCTGCTGGTGGTGCTCCTCATCCCCAGGTCTGTTGGCATAGATAACTCCCAAACGTTTGGGAATTGTGCCTACTCTCTCCATTTTCATGTAGTCTTCAGGTCTCACATTGCCACATCCAGCCCAGGTGCCCTAGCATTCTGTATTGGCTTCCTACTAATCTCCCAAGGTCTGCCCTAGACTTCCTCTGTCACCCGTCAAAGGTCCTGGAAATGGTCCCTCATGGGTTAGGGTATATACAGGACCCTCACTTCCCAAAGAAATGGTTAACTGGGGGCACTTAATTATTTTCTCCTTATGTTTCACCCCTCCTCCAAAACAATACAAAAAGGTCTGGGCATGGACAAAGATTGACCTGGTCCCAACGCCTCCAGCTGGGATTCATCTTAACCCACTCGTCCTCCCCCATGGGGATTCATGGGCCCAGGTGGCTCTGAGTGGTCTCTGCATGAGCTGAGTTTCCCTGCAGCCTTTGACCTCGAAGCAGCCAGGAGCCTCTGCAGTTCTCTTGGCATGCATCCTGTGGGAAATACACCCTAAGGAAAGCCCCTTCTCGATCCATACCACAAGGGTTTTGTGGGGCGTGGCCTTGGGACTTCAACACAACCGAACTGGCTGGCTGAGTGGCCTGGGCTCTGTGATGGGGTACTAGGGGATAGCACTGACCCTCTGCTTCCCAGGGCTTCCCATCCCAGCTCACTTCCATGAGTTTGGGTTCAAGAGCAGGAGAATCTGCAAGTAGGGTTGTAAGGCTTCAAGGAGAAGGAACTTGAAGTATGGGGAGCAAGAGGATTTCCTGCCTGTTAGGGTTCCTGAAGTGAGCTAGAAGAGCAGAGATTTGAGGGGAGCGGATGGATAGAAGGGACATGATGAGCCACTTCCCTCTGATTCTAACTGTGGATCAAAACACCAGAAAATCAGAAATGCACTGACAACCACAGGCTTGGGTCTGAGAAGCACATGCTCTCCTGAACCCTGATGCCTCCGCTAGAGGCCCACAGCCCTAGGCTTAGTGTTCTGTCCTTCCTGTTCTGGTGGGGAGGTAGTGGTGGAGGGGTGGGCCAAAGAGAGGAGGTTACTGCAGACTTCCGGGACTCAGGGGACTGAGTCAAACCTACCTAGGTAGGCTACAGGTAGTCAGCCTCAGGGCTAACTGGGCTGTTAGTGGTGGTGGTAGGTGTTTTGGTTGTTTTAATTCCTAGGTTGTTGTGGGGTTTGTTTTTTTTGGAAGGGGGAGGAGTTCCTGGTACTTTCCAGCCCAGGTGTAGCGATTGGCAGGGACTCTGTGAAGTGTGGGCAGCCTTCCCTTGGGCCTGGGTGAGCCCCAGAAGACGGTGCAGATGTCTGGGTGGAGCCTATTACAGACCTGGTGAGCCCCAGAAGACGGTGCAGATGTCTGGGTGGAGCCTGTTACAGACCTGGTGAGCCCCAGAAGACGGTGCAGATGTCTGGGTGGAGCCTATTACAGACCTGGTGAGCCCCAGAAGACGGTGCAGATGTCTGGGTGGAGCCTATTACAGACCCTGCCTGAGCCTCTTGTCTTGGGACTTCCTGTTACCTGAACACCTGCCTGGGAGGGGTGGGTGGTATGGCAGGAGGTGTTGTGAGCAGCTCGCCTGGGCTGTTTGGAACCTGGGTTCAGAGCTGTGGCCACACTGAGCTTGTTTTCTGGGTAAGGCAGAGAGACAGGCTGTCTTTTGCCTTCCAGCAGCTCATATGAGCTTCTTCCTGATGGGGAGAGATTTGGGGCAAGACCCCAGAGTCCTCCCCTTTAGCTCTTCACTCTCCCCACCAACCCTGCTCCACGCCGCCTTCCTCTCCATGTCTGCGCCTAGCAAGTATCTAACCCTCCAGTGGAAACCTGGGGCTGGGGCAGAAGAGCAGGAGAAAATGCCCTTTCCATGGTGGCCATGAGGGTCTGATTTGGTCCCCACCCAGCCTGACTTGGTTAGCTGGTTGTGCTGGTTGCATAATCTGGGCCCTGGGGCCAGCTCTGCGAAGCTGCCAGGGACAGCATGTGCAAGGCAGAGCTGCCAAACAGGCCTTGCAGGCAGCAGCCTGGGGGTGGGGGTGGGGGGCGGCAGGCGGGGGTGGAAGGGACGCCCAGATGGGCTCCACAAAAATGTTGGGGGCCTGAGCCTGGGTGGGAAGCCTTGCCAACTTGTAAGGAAGCTACTTCTGTCACCTGGATGTCTAGGTCTGTGATCCTGGCCCCCCAGGACAGCCTTACTCCCGTTCTCTACATTGGGATTGTGAAGCTAACTTGAGCCTGAGCCAGCCCCGATTGCCAGGTGGTGCCTGGACCCCGGGCAGAGTCCAGGTGCTAGGTGTCCTTTCTCCCAGGGACCACTCAGGAGCCACTTTTTCTCTTTTGGGGTCTTTTGGTGTAGGAGTAGGGAGGTGCGTAAAGGGTTCAGTTATGGGTTATAGGAAGGGGACATATGGCGACCAGATGGTCTCTGGACTCTGCCGGAGCCCACCACTTGGGACTCTCTCTGAGACACCCTGTTGCAGCTTGCTCACCTGGGCACTGCTGTTGCGGGCTTGCCAGCCCCCTGGACTGCCCCGCCCCCTCAGGTGCACCAGGGGTTGTGCATGGAGGCTCTGCCCTTGAGTCTCAGGGAGGCTTAACAAAGCTTCAGCTTGCTCGTGCCATGTACGCTGGCCTCAGCTTCACCCTCCAGGTCAGGGAAGAAGGATGGTAGGGCTCAGGGACCATCTGAGGGCCTCAAGAGTGCCTTCGAGTGAACGAGGAGTCTGCTGAGGGGCCCTTCTTTGGCAAACAGGATTCTCCTCCCACCGTGGTCTCTGGCAGATCTGCTCCTGCCTCATTTGCTGGCATGAGTGCCAGGGTAACTGAAGGGGGCGGGACAGGTGTGGTTTACACTTCTGCTGCAGGCGCTTGCTCCCCTTTGTCTCCCTTGCTGGCACCCTGCTGCTCCAGTGCTCAGCAGGGATGGAGGGTATGGCCTTTGGGCTCTGCAGGGCCCCGCCACTGACCTCTGGCCCACCGGTGGCTCACTTCCCCCAGCGGCCTGGCATGTCTCCAGGGAGCCGGATGCCCATGGCTGGCTTGCAGGTGGGACCCCCCGGCGGCTCCCCATTTGGCACAGTTGCTCCACTTCGACCTGGCATGCCACCCACCATGATGGACCCATTCCGAAAACGCCTGCTCGTGCCCCAGCCCCAGCCCCCGATGCCTGCCCAGCGCCGAGGGTAAGATCTTCCTGTTCCCCACCACCACTCCCCCAGACTTTCCTTCTACTCTAAGAACTGGGTGACTGAGGAGGACCTGGTTCTCTTGGGGGGGAAGTCCTGGGAGCTGAGGAGATGTCTGAGTTGCCGGAGACACTGACGTCTTACATGGACTTCTCTCCTCCCCAGGCTAAAGAGGAGGAAGATGGCGGATAAGGTTCTACCTCAGCGAGTAAGTTTGTTGGGAGGGGCGCCTTGGAGACCTGACTGATGGATGGCTGGGGATGGGGGTGCCAATCTTCCCAACCCTGGGATCAGGGAGGTAGGAGCCAGATCTGCTGCTGACGAGGCCCTCCTCCCTTCCTCAAGATCCGGGAGCTTGTCCCTGAATCTCAGGCGTACATGGATCTCTTGGCTTTTGAGCGGAAGTTGGACCAGACCATTGCTCGAAAGCGGATGGAGATCCAGGAGGCCATCAAAAAGCCACTGACGGTATGAACAGCCTTGGCCATCCCCAGCCTTCCTGAGGGGCCAAGGCAGAGTCTGTGTGGGGCTAGCAAAGGGGTTTCAAACTTCAGGATACAGCCAAGAGTGAGGCTTGAACTCAGTTGAATGTGTTGCGATGGGCATATTTCTTTAAAATGAAACACAAAACATGGAGGGTATTTCACATGTGGTAAAGGTTTAAGTATTATTTCATGAGATTTTTGTTCTAGATATTTATATATAAATATATGCTCATGCGTAATGGGTCATGATTTTAAATATGCTCTGAGTTGTAATCAAAAGTAAGAAAGCTACTAGAATAGAGGGTGGATAAGGGTAGCTCCTGTCGCTGTTCTCATCTCTAGAGAACATTTTGTTGTTGTTTAAATAATTATCTACAACAATCCCCAGAAGGGTAAAGGTTTTCCAGGAGACCCAGATATCTGGGGACCATCACCAGGGTTTGGGTATTACTGCCACTATGATCTGGAAGCTTCTGCTTTGCCTAATAGACACTACCAGTCCCACATTCTGAAATTGTCCATGCTACAGGCAATTCCTCGCTAAAGCTGGGCATTACTGCTTCCAATACCTGTTCCCAGGGTCACGCCAGGTTGCGGTTGATTGTTGAATGAGTGAAGACGGGAAGGTAGAAGAGCCATTCACTCCTAGTTACTTGCCTTTCTCTCTTTAGCAAAAGCGGAAACTTCGGATCTACATTTCCAATACATTCAGCCCCAGCAAGGCTGATGCTGATAGTGCAGGAAGTGCGGGCACCCCAGCGGGGACTCCAGCAGGGGACAAGGTGGCTTCTTGGGAACTCCGAGTGGAAGGCAAACTGCTAGATGACGTGAGTTGGGAAAGGGGGTTCCCCAGGGGAGGTGACCTGTGTGGATTTAAAGTGGGGGCCAGACAGTTGAGCGTTTGCAGAGAAGTCCTGCTCCTCCGGGAGAGGGTGCTGGTAATGGCCACGCTTTGTAGAGCTCCAAGCCTGTTGGTTTGTATGGTTATCACTGCTGCTTCCTGCAGATGGCAGTAAAGCATCTTGAGGAAAGGGCACCAGACCCAGAACCATTAGCTGTGGTGTCACTTGTGACTCATGGTAACCCCATGTGTCAGCATAGAACTGTGCTCCATAAGTTGTAAATGGCTGGCTTTTCAGAAGTGTTTGCCAGGCCTTTATTCTGAGGTGCTTCTAGATGGACTTGAATCTCCAACCTTTCAGTCAGTAGTAGCTGATCATGTTTTGCACTATCCAGGGACTTCCTTTGGAATTCACAGAGGCCCTTACTGCCTTGCAGCAGGCTGTGTGGAGAGCCCTGTGCCTCCAGTCTCTCTTTAGTCCTAGAGTCTGACTGCTTCCTTCAGGGCCCAAGACTCCCCTGGACCCTGACTCCAGGGCTGAAACAATGGACCTTTTTCTGGGCTTCACACAGCTTTGAGTTCAAGCATGAAGCAGCTTAGCAACACCCCCATCTCAAACCCCTTTCTACCCCCAGCCTAGCAAACAGAAAAGGAAGTTTTCTTCGTTCTTTAAGAGCCTCGTCATTGAGCTGGACAAGGAGCTGTACGGGCCTGACAACCACCTGGTGGAGGTGAGCGTGGTCCCGCCCGAGGACAGAGCATAAGCTGATATGCTAGGGCAGTGTCCTGCTCTCGAGTCCCTAAGAGGGCCAGATGTGTGTTCACACCCCTTTCCTGTTCCTTGCCAGTGGCACCGGATGCCCACCACCCAGGAGACAGATGGCTTCCAGGTGAAGCGCCCTGGGGACCTCAATGTCAAGTGTACTCTCCTGCTCATGTTGGATCATCAGGTGACAAGTGCCTGGGGGCAGGGACAGGCTCCTACTTCAGCTTATGTCTCGCTGCTTTTTCCCCCAGGACTCTCCTCTGACTGCTTTCTGTCCTGTCCCCAGCCTCCCCAGTACAAGTTGGACCCCCGGCTGGCAAGGTTGCTGGGAGTGCACACACAGACGAGGGCCGCCATCATGCAGGCCCTGTGGCTGTACATCAAACACAACCAGCTACAGGATGGGCACGAGCGCGAGTACATCAACTGCAACCGCTACTTCCGCCAGGTGAGCCAGATCCCCGCCAGGCTGCTTCTCAGCCAGTTTTCAGTCCATTGCTCTAACCGTGAAATGGGCCACGTCCTTTGGACCCCTCAGAGGCATCACCGAGCCTTTGGTGCTCTCTGCAGATCTTCAGTTGTGGCCGACTCCGTTTCTCCGAGATTCCTATGAAGCTGGCTGGGTTGCTGCAGCATCCAGACCCCATTGTCATCAACCACGTTATTAGGTAAACTGAGGGAAGGACAGGGGATGGATCTTCTGAGTAGAAGTGCCTTTGGCTTGATTGAACGCTGAAGGGAAGCAGCAGGTTTGGTTTCTTGTTTCTGGGTTGTGAGCATGAACGGGTCCCAGGGTGGATCCAGGTGGTTGAATGAATATAGCCGTGTTCTTCCCCCTCCCTTCCATGTGTGGCCTACAGTGTGGACCCTAATGACCAGAAGAAAACTGCCTGCTATGACATTGATGTGGAGGTGGACGACCCACTGAAGGCGCAAATGAGCAATTTTCTAGCCTCTACCACCAACCAGCAGGAGATCGCCTCCCTTGATGTCAAGGTGGGCCATGTGCTCCCATTTTACCTCACTGCTGTGGAAGGGCCGGAAGGCAGGCTAAACTGCCTGCATATGTGGGTCTCTGCCTCATTCCTTGGGGCTTCAGCCTGGGAAGACTCCTTAGAGAAGAGGGTTAGTTTAATACACAACCCTTTTCCCCCAGATCCATGAGACCATTGAGTCCATCAACCAGCTAAAGACCCAGAGGGATTTCATGCTCAGCTTTAGCACTGACCCCCAGGACTTCATCCAGGAATGGCTCCGTTCCCAGCGCCGGGACCTCAAGGTGGGGTTTAAGCAATAGATGACTTCACAGCACTACCTCTCCAGCTTCAGGGGTGGATCGGTTCAGGGAATTTTGCTGTGATTTTCCTTTCCGCAGATCATCACTGATGTGATTGGGAATCCTGAGGAGGAGAGGCGGGCTGCGTTCTACCACCAGCCCTGGGCCCAGGAAGCAGTGGGGAGGCATATTTTTGCCAAGGTGAGCCCCTGCCCGACTGCTTGCTTGCCTTTGGTTGTAAGTAGCCAAGGCCTGAGCTACTTTTGGCTTCTTCTCCAGGTGCAGCAGCGCAGACAGGAATTGGAACAGGTGCTGGGAATCCGCCTGACCTAACTGCTCAGGGAGCTTCCTCTTGTTCCAGCTCTGGAGCCATTCCTGCCTCAGCCTGGAAAGGGACCACCCTCTGGGTCCTGACTGGGGCAACCGACATGTAGGCTAAGGATGGGGTGAGGTGTGTCTCTTGTCACCCTCTATCCCTCAGCTGTAGTTTCATAAATGTAGTGATAGGATTCCTTGTTGCTTGGGTCCCCAAAGCCTTATTAATACTTACTTTATGCATTGGCTTTAATTGGGTTCAGTTCATTAACAGATGCCTCCTCTGCCTCCTGCAGGCAGGCCCAAGTAGGACTGTGGGAGGCTGTAATGGGACATTGTAACAGACGTTTCAGAACCAAAGGCTGCTGGGTTTGCATGTTTACAGACTCCCCCTTGGGGCTCTGGGCAAGGAAGGGGGCACAGCCCAGACTCTTCCTAGCCTTCCGAAACCAAAGTTCTTTGCCATTCCTATGAACCCAGCCTTGCTGCTGGTTTTTCCTTTCCTTTGGGTATTTGCACTATTTGGGAAGCAGGTTTTTCTATGCGGGAGCCACTTTTTTTGTATAGGGGTTAAGTTGGGGTTTTCCAGAGAGTTCTCTTTGGTGCCTCCTCCCTTACGTTCTTTCCTCAGTCTATGCAAGCGGTTTTGGCCGCCATCATCTCCTGGGGTGCCAGAGTGCTGCCACCCGTTTCTTGGGCCCAGTGAGGTTAATGCCTCGTGGAGGGAGGGGACACTCCAGCTCTCTAGCATGGCCTTAAGCGTGGGTATATGCATGGTGGAATGGCCAGTAAAGTGGGGTAGGGGGGCTGGTTGCCCTTTGGAGCTGGGTAAGGAGGGTGGGTCTAGGCAGATGCCACTTCTGGCAGGTTTGGAAGTTTCCAAATAAATCCTTTTGTTTACGGTGCCATAGTCATTGCGCAGTACAATCAGTCGTTAACGGCCAAGTCTTAGAGGTGGCTCACAAAGCTTTATTGAGAAGCCACAGAGTGCCCACCTCACTTCCAAAGCTTCTTGATGGACATGTTTTTCTCACTGTCCTTCTGCATGACCTGGAAAGAGAGTGTGCAAGGGTGCGCTGTTACACACAGGTGAACGCACTCCCTCCTCTCCCTGTGATGGCTCTATAGCCGCCACAAACAGAGAAAGGCAGGGACATAATATACCTTGGCTACTGCCATCTCAAAGTCCTCTTGGGTGACGTGAACTCGCCGTTCCCGCAAGGCATACATGCCAGCTTCTGTGCACACGCCCTAGACAGGGAAAGGCGATGAGATGCTGCCACTGTGCCCCCTTGGCCCCAAGCATGGCCTGCCTCCCAGTCTCCAGCTACCTTCACTTCAGCCCCCGATGCTCCGGGCATGAGCTCAGCAATTTTTCTCAAGTTGATCCCCCGGGTCAGGTTCATTTTCCGAGAATGTATCTTCAAAATGTCTAGCCGGGCCTATGGACCAGAGAGAAAAGGCCCGAGTCCCCTCCTTCCACCCCTACAGCCAGCACCTCTCCCAGCACGGTCGGTCACAAACCTCCTCGTTGGGGGGTGGGAATTCAATTTTTCTGTCAATGCGCCCAGGGCGAAGCAGAGCTGAGTCCAGAATATCGATCCTGTTAGTAGCCATGATGACCTTGATGTTCTTAGTGGCCTCAAAGCCATCTAGCTGGTTGAGCAGCTCCAGCATGGTGCGCTGCACTTCACTGTCACCTCCAGAGCCCCCCTCCAACCGTGAGGAGCCAATGGAGTCTATTTCATCCATGAAGATGATGGACGGAGCATGCTCTCTCGCCATTACAAACAGCTCCCTCACCATTCTTGCCCCTGTGAGGAGGGCCAAACCAGTGTTAGAGGGCCCAAAAGACCCTTGTCTTCCCACTTCCTGCTCATGTTTCTGGTAAATTACCTTCGCCAATGAATTTCTGTACCAACTCAGAGCCAGAGACGCGAATAAAGGTGCAATCTGTATGATGAGCGACAGCCCGGGCCAACAGTGTCTTCCCAGTGCCCGGAGGTCCATACAGCAGCACCCCCTGGTGGGAAAGAGGAGGAATCAGGGCAGAAAGCCAGCCCTTCATTTCATTCCCTGGGAATTCACTGAGTGCTGTGTGCTGGGTCCAAGAAACAAAAAATGAACAGCCAGGAACTTCTAACCAAACCCTCAGTGTGCTGGAAACACCTCTCCCAGAGCCTCTTGGAGAGGATCCAGCCTAAGTAGCTATAGTCTATCCCAACGTCCCTATTCTATGACCTGGAGCAGGAGTGGGTTTAGCATAACACGGCCCTCCTAAAGCCAACCCTGCTTCTCACCTTGGGCTGTGCAATACCCAAGGCTTCAAAGAGCTCAGGGTGTTTAACAGGCAGCTCGATTACTTCTTTGATCTCCTTGATCTGCTTGTCCAGTCCACCAATCATCTCGTAGGTGGAATCTGGTACCTTCTCTACCATCATCAGTGATACCAGTGGGTCCACCTTGTTGGGCAAGATCTTGTGCAGGGTGTAGCTGTCATTTCTTAGAGCCACCCGGCAATTGGGTGTCACCTGGATACAAGGAGCAAGGGAGTTTCAGAAAGTAGTGCAGTAGGAGCTGACCCTAAACCTACCCCCAACCCCACCTCACCTGCCACACTCACATCATTGATGTCGATGTTCTTGTCCACATCGACAACAAACTTGCCCTCGGGATGTACCTGAAAAAAGGGCTCCGTGACTTTTCACAAACTCAGATCACCAACCACGACTGGTCTCAGAAGACCCACAAGTCCTAGACCACGACAAAACACCTCCCAAAGCCACCAAGGGATAGAAATGCAGTGAGCACTAGGGGCTGCTCCTTGAAGTTTTACTGCCTTTACCTTCACCAACACTTTCTTCTTATCCATGGCCCGGACAACTTCCCCCACGTAGGAGCCCTGTTCCTGCAGTAGCTGTAGTTCCTCCCGCAGCAGACGAACTAGGGGGGGACACAGGCATCGGTGAGACTCTCCTAGCATGCCCCCTCACCCCTGACTCACTTCACCATGAACTGCACACCATTAGTTCTGAAGGGAAAGCCACACACAAAGGAACTCTTGTCCTTAACGGGGTTATAATACAGCACAGAAAAGATGTGGTTGTGAAACAAGCATTTTGTTATTGTTAGGTGCCGGGGAGTCGGTTCTGACTCATAGCGACCCTGGTATAGGGTTTCCGAGGCTGTTAATCTTTACGAGAGCAGAAAATCTCATCTTTCTCCCGCAGAACAGCTGGGAGTTTTGAAGTGCTGACCTTGCGGTTCGCAGCCCAATTTGAAACAAGCATAGGAGAGCACAATCCACAGTATCACCCAGGGCTGGGAGGAAACCACCTCAGAGCCACATCCCACAAGCAGCCTTCCCAAGTTACCCCCCTCCTCACCTTTTGCATTTAATTCATTCCTCTGTGCCTGAAGCCTCCGGAGGTTTTGGCTCTTGTCATTCACAATCAGCTGTGCAAGACAGAAGCAAATTCTGTTACCAGAGGGCAAAGGGCAGTATCAAGGTTAAGAACCTTCACAGTGGGTGTGAACTGAGACTGGGACAACTACGGGGCATCTACACATGGTCTCAGGTGCTCCAATATGACCCTAATGACCCTGTCCTGTCTCCAAGAGTTCCTTTGGTCTATGGCAGTCATCAAAAAGGACTGCTTGTCCAATACTGGTCCAGGAATAATAGCCCCTGATGGAGAAAAGGTACCGCTGACTTGTGGATTTCTTGAAGGGTGACAATACACAACACTGAAGGACTACCAGCCTTTGAGAGAGACGCTTGCATTCTAGCCCAGCTGCTGCCAATAAATAGCTAAGAACAACTAGAACAAAACTGAGAAGATCTAGATCTGTTTCCAGACTATAAACGGAAATCACCTAACCTGCTCCACCACTCAGTTTGTTGTGCTGTGGTAGCTTAAGTGTTGCTGTTATACTGCCAAGCTAGGCCACTGGTATTTAAATAACAGCAGGGTACACCCATGGTGGACAGGTTTCAACTGAGCTTCCATACTAAGAAACTAAGAAAAAGGAGACGTGGACTACAGAATGGTTAGCCACTGAAAACCTTTTGAATAGCAGCAGAAGATTGTCAGATTCAAACCAAAAGATTGAACACTGAAACATGATGAAGAGCACCAGAACACTGTCAGATACACTGTCAGATACACTGCTGGAAGATAAGCCCCTCAGGTTGAAAGACACTCAAAATATGACTGAGGAAGAACTGTCTCCTCAAAGCAAAGTAAACCATGATGACGCAAATAGAGCACAGCTCTTAGGACCAAAACGAGGAGAAATAGCTGCAAACATTGATTAATAACAGAACATGTAATGTATGAAGTATGAATCTAGGAAAATTGGAAGGTGTCAAAATTGGAACGCATAAAGATAGATATCCTAAGCATTAGTGAGCTGAAATGGATTGGAATTGGCCATATTGAACCTGACAATTATCTTGTTTACTACGCCAAGAATAACGAACGAGGAATGGCATCGCATTCATTGTAAAAATTTTGAAGATCTTGAAGTATAATGCTGTCTGTGACAGAATAACATCCATAGTCCTGGTGTGATGCTTTGGGTTAATGCGCTGGACTGCAAGATCAGTTTGAACCACAAAGTTGGCGATTCAAGCTCCTTGGAAACCCTCTGTCACTATGAGTCAGAACTGACTTGACGACACTTAACAACACAAGGAAGACTAGTTAATACCACTATTGTCCAAATTTATGCACCAACCACTAAAGCCAGTGATGATGAAACAAGAATTCTATCAACTTCTTCTGTCTGAAATTGATTAAACATGCAATCAAGATGTACTGACAATTACTGGTGATTAAAACGTAAGGTTGGAAACAAACAGGAAGATCAGCAGTTAGAAAATATGGCCTTGGTGATATAAACAATGCTGGAGGTAGTATGATAGAATTTTCCAGTAACAATGACTTATTCATTGCAAATATACCTTTTTTAAACAAAAGACTACCAGGTGTATAGAGAAATCAAATTGACTACATCTGTGTGAAGAGAGGATGAAAAAGCTGGATATCAACAGCCAAAACAAGGCCAGGGGCAAACTGGAACAGACCATCAATTGCTCATTTGCAAGTTTAGGCTACAGGGCAAGAAAACTGAATTTAGAGATCACCTCAAGAACAGATCTGATGCATTAAGCACTAATGACCAATGACCAACAGAGTTGTGGAATGACATCAAGAACATCAGACAAGAAGAAATAAAAAAGTCATTAAGAAGACAAGAAAGAAGAAAAAGACCAAAATGGGATGTCAGAAGAGACTTTGAAACATCCTCTTCAGTATAGAGATAATTATGCAAATGGAAGAAACAAAGAAGCAAAAAAGTAGAACAGAGTATTTCACAGGGCAGCTTAAGAAAAAGCCAAGTATTATAATAATGAAATATGCAAAGACTTGGAGTTAGAACCAAAAATAAAAAACACACTCAGCATTTCTCAAGCTAAAAGAACTGAAGAAAAAATTCAAACCTCAACTAACTGAAAGATTCTATGGGAAATTACTGAATAATGCAGAAAACACCTAAAGAGAAGAGATGGAAGAAATACAGAGTCACTGTACCAAAAACAAATGGTTGTTGTCCAACCATTTCAAGAGGCAGCATATGATCAACAGCTAATAGTACTGAAGGAAGAAGTCCAAGGTGCACTGAAAGCATTGGCAAAGAAAAACGTTCTGGGAACCGAAGGAATATAAATTGAAAAATTTCAACAAACAGATGCAGCACTGGTGGTAGTCATTCATCTACACCAAGAAATCAGAAAGACAGCTATTTGTCCAACTGACTAGAAGAGCGCCATATTGGTGCCTATTCCAAAGAGAGATGACCCAATGGAATGTGGAGATCATAAGACAATATCATTACTTTCTCATGCAAGTAAAATTTTGCTAAAGATAATTCAAGAACTCTAACAGTACACTGACAAGAAACTGCCAGAAATTTAAGTTGGATTCAGACAAGGATGTGGAACAAGGTAACACTGATGACATCAGATGGATCTTGGCTGAAAGCAGAGAATACTAGAAAGATGTTTATCTGTGCTTTACTGACTATGCAAAGGCTTTCGACTGTGTGGATCATGACAAGCTATGGACAACACTGGAAAAGAATGAGTATTCTGGAACACTTATTTGTGCTCATGAAAAACTTGCACATAGACCAAGAGGCAGTCTTTTGAGCAGAACAAGAGGATACTGACTGGTTTAAAATCAGGAAAAGTGTACACCAGGGATGGTATTCTTTTCACCATACTTATTCAATCTGTGTGCTGATCAAATAATCTCAGAAGCTGGATTATATGAAGAACATGGCATCAGGATTGAAAGAAGACTCATTAACAATCTGAGATGCAGATGATACAACCTTGCCTGCTGAAAGCAAAAAGAACTTAAAATACTTATTGATAAAGATCAAAGATACTTTCATTGTGGGATGCACCTCAATGTAAAAGAAACAAAAATCCTCACCATTGGACCAATAAACATCACCATGAAAAATGGAGAAAAGATTAAAGTTATTAAAGACTTCATTTTGCTTGGATCCACTATCAAAACTCATGGAAGTATCAGTCAAGAAAACAAAGAACACAAGCAAAATGTAGGACCTTATCCAGAGAAGCAGCGACACCAGAGATGGAGGCAGAGATGGTGACATGGAGAGAGGGAGCAGCTGAGGACTCTAGATTCATGGGAAGAGAGGGACTGAGAACTGGCAGCCAGGAGGCAGACTTGCAGAATGTGCCCTTTGGTGGTGTAAATTATTATATATGCCTGAGTGTAAAGAGCTAAAAGGAATAGCGAGAAATACTGTTAACCTATAGCACATGGAGGGGTTATAATCATTACAATGAAACAAGGTGTATGATTTCTTCTTGTATGATGTTCAATTCACAATTTAAAAAAAATAAAATAAATCAATGTATTGCATTAGGCAAATCTGCTGCACATGACCTCTTTACAGTGTTTAGAAGCAAAGATGTCTGTTGACGAGTAAGGTGTGCCTGACCCAAGCCATGGTATTTTCAATAGCCTCATATGAATGTGAAAGTTGGACAGTGAATAAGGCAGACCATAGAAGAATTGATGCATTTAAGTTATGGTGTTGGAGGAGAATATTAAAAGTACCATGGGACTGCCAGAAAAACAAACAAATCTGTGTTGGAGGAAGTACAGCCAAAATGTTCCTTAAAAGCCAGGATGGCGAGACTTTGTCTCTCATACTTCGGGCAGATTATCAGGATGGACTAGTCCCAGGAGAAAGACATGGTGCTTAGCATAGTGGAGGGTTAATGAAAAAGAGCCCACCCCACGAGATGGACTGACACAGTGGCAGCAGCAACAATTGTGAGCACGGTGCAGGACTGGACAGGGTCTCTTTCTGTTGTGCATACAGCTGCTATGAACTGGAACCGACTTGCTGGCACCTAACAGCAACAACAACCCTGCTGCTTTTCTCAGCGATGGGGAAAAACAGGAAATCGCACATAAACTTACTTTTAAAATTGCAAATCAGTCATGTTGTTGATACCTTAAATACACCTGGAGTTCAGAAATTTTCCTTGCAGTTTACCCCCATCTACGCGTAGTAGTTTTTCTTATTCCTATGGTTACTGCTTCCTCTTTCACTAAAGGGTTGCCCAATTCTTAATGATTTGGTCTCATGGAAGCCACACTGTCTTTCCTCACATTCTCGTTTTGCCCTGTCCGGAGCCCACTTTCTTTGCTTTGATAAGAAACTCTCATTTAAGTCTCTTCTAAAAGGAATGGCCTTCAATTATAGATACGTTTTCTGTTAATATTTGAATCTTGAAGATGTCTAACAAATTGAATACTATTGAGTCTCAAAGTGGTTGTACTTGAAAGGTACAAGAAACCTAATCTAATAAATTTTATATTATGTTGGTGGTTCAAACTCACCCTCAGAAATCCTATACAGGGTCACTGTGAGTCAGAACCAATTTGACCTCACTAACAACTCCTCATAGGTTCCCTTTTCTAAAAACTACAACAAAAAAAGAAAAAGATTAGGAATTTTGCACCATTGTTGTTAGGTGCCATCGACTCGGTACCAACTCATAGCAACCCTATGCACAGCAGAACGGGCCGGGTCCTGGGCCAACCTCACTATTGTTGCCACACACGAGCCCACTGATGCTGCCACTTGGCCAATCTATCTTGTTGGGGGGTTTTCCTCTTTTTCTCTGACCCTCCACCTTACCAAACATGATATCCTTCTCCAGCGACTGGTCCCTCCTGACAATATGTCCAAAGTATGAGATGAAGTTTGCATGGTACTCCACGGTAGGGACATGGGCTCTAGAAATTGGTGTGGCTCTGTGCGTTAACGCGCTGGACGGCAATGTTTTTTTGAACAGCAAAGTGGGTGGTTCAAGCTCACCAGCGGCTCCTCAGAAACCCTATACAGGCTCGCACTGGGTCGGTACCGACACGGCAGCACTTAACAACAACAACCCCCCCCACGTTCCTCCTCACCTGAAGCTCTTCGATCTTGGACAGGTAATACTGGCGGAGTCCACTGCCTGCCTTTCCCTCTTCCAGCTCCATCTGAAGACACAGGAAAATGACCGAATATCAGGCTAAGTGTCGCTACCCCACAAGACTTACATATCAGGCGGCGTTATGTAGAAAGAGCTCCGACTTTGAAGCCTTAAGATTTAGGTTCTAGTTGACTGCTCCTTCAGAACCCTTCGTTTCCACATGACTTAAAGAAAATGAGAAGGAGAACACCGCCTACCTCCTAGAAAGGAAGACTGAGTCAGAAACACCGGGGCGCTTTGTACGGTCGCGCACTACTCAAACCCAAGGTGTTAAAGTTTCAGCGGGGTCGGTGGGACGGCCGGGCGCCGGGTCCTCCAGCTAGCTGCGACTCGAGGCCGTTCCCGCTCCTACTGCTCCGCTAGCTCCCTCTGCTTTTACGGCGTTCTCCTCTCGCAGCCCGGCCCTGACACAGCAGATCCGGTCCCAGCAGAGCTCGGTCTATATTGCTCTACCTTTCTCCGACCACCTTACCTCCGGCCAGCTCCCCACCTTGGCTAATACCCGCTCCATATCCAGCCCTGGTCCCGGTCCCGGTCCCGGTCCGACTGCTGCTATACCTGCTCCAGCCCTTCAAGCGCCATCTTCTCTCTTAAACTAGCACCACTGGCCTCCCAGCGGCCTCGACGCGCAAGCGCAGAAGAAATGACTTGGGGCCAGAAGACAAGGGCAGAGAAGAGTTCCGGGTCAATAAGCCGAACGGGCGGAAGGCGATGTTAAATAACAGAGGCCATGATGAGAGGGTTACAACTGGATTCAGGCGCTTTGGAAGGGAATGCGGAGGAGGGCGAGAAAGTCACAAACGGTGCTCTCTAGAAACTTGATTTGTAGTCCATGTACTCTGCCCTCCTGGTCCCAGATTCCAACTAATTAGACCTAAGGATGAAGCCTTGAGAAAAATGTATTGCCACGCTCAAAATGGCAGAAAACAAGGCTTTGCAGACTCAAGGGCGGAAGCGGAAGTAGTTTTGCTGCCTACATGTGCAGCTCAGGGGTGGGGAAAACGGTTCCGTACAGAGGAGTTCGATGTGGGGAACGCGTGGAATGTGATTGCTGGAAGTGGGACGGAAAAAGCGAACTCTAGTGCTCAGAGAAAAGACGTTCTCAACTTTTCCTATCTTTCCCCCAGATTAAGTGACAACCTCGTTCCACCATGGGCAAGAAAGGGAAGGTCGGGAAAAGCCGGCGGGACAAGTTCTACCACTTGGCAAAGGAAACTGGTGAGCCTGGGTGAACGCTCTTGGGCCCGTCCGCCCTCTTCCCGAATATTGGGTTCCTCTGGAAGGAGCTCTAGTAGCGTAGTGGTTACGAATCGGGCTGCGAACCTTAAGGTCAGCGGTTCGAAACTACCAGCCGCTCCACGGGAGAAAGATGAGGCTTTCTACTCCCGTAA